TGCCTAGGGAAAGTGCTTGATTCGTACGTTTATTGCGCTTGAGAGACTCATGGTCTCGACGCGACGTGCTGATCTATTCGTGCGAGGAGCTCTGCGTTATGCCCGACGATAAGTTGAACTTCGTGAACCACAGGGCTTTCAATCGATCGGAGACTCAAGCAAGTTCCACGCTCGGAAAGCGTCGCAAACCGCTATTCATAAGGCTCGACGGAGGACTCCAAGTTTGGTCCATATTCGGTAGAAGACATATGGTTCGATCCCACTGATCAACCAGATTCATCGGAGCTTGATTCAGTTCCAGGTATTTTTTTCGGCGCCGATTCGATTTCTCGGTTTCCGACAAGCCCCAACCGATTGCGTTCCTTACTGCGACCGAGACCTGTTCAGATTTCAGGCGAAGCACAATGAAAGCAAAAATAGAATAGGAAGCTCGGACGTTGTGGGATATCCTGCTCGGCACTTTCCATGAGCAGGAACTCGCTTCTTCACGTTCGGCCTCGTCGAAAATTGTCCTCGTCGGCACGGGCCGGCGTCGTACTGTTTTCGATGCATTTCTCTCAACTTGTCTCTCGACTTTTCCTCCGCGATCATTCACACTAATGGATTCGGATACCTCGAACTCTTCCCCATATATCGAAATAGTTCCCAAGTGTGAAAGATTTGGAGTCCGAATCGAGTAGAGAATCTTCAGAACGGGAATCGGCACGGCGTGTTCGTGTGCTTGGATCGATTCTCCGATGTAGAGAATCGGTATCTTCGAATCCTCACACGACGTGTGTGATCCCTAGGCGCAAGTCGCTGTTAGTTTCATGGATTTCGCAATCCGCCATCCAGGTCAGATTGATTTTGTCTGTCGATAGAGCCGATCTCATAACGCATCATCATTCGCACATATGTACCGGTGGCGCTTGGGTAATAAGATTGCGATCCCGGATGCGCGTTCCTGCCATCATCGAGCATCTTCTGTCTTAGAAAAAAATGAACAACGAAATAATCACCGTCCCGCAGAGAGAAACAGTTCCCTGGTTCTCATAACCCGCCGATGCGAGTGCATGTCGTTAGATTCGCTTCGTTTACAACTTTTGGCTGGCGCGGTCCGAGAGATATTAGACTGATCTTCGGCCGCATATTACCTTTTGAAGGGAAAATTTTGGAAGGACTTCGCTTCCTACCGGAGCGAGTGCCGAGATGCGGTGTCTGCGGAGCGGTCATTGCTATCAAGTGCAGAATAATTATCTATCTCATATCGCCAGTCCACCCTCTTGTGTCTTCATATGCTCATCAGTCAACGGAAAGCCCTCTCGACTGCGAACAACAGCAGCCCAGTACAAAGGGCGAGAATAACTCCTGCGAGGTCGAGATGAGTGATGTAATGGAGAACCGCTAACCTTATCGAAGCCAGGAGCAGCATGAGCGTTCAGGTCCAGCTTTCTTTATTAGTATGAGATCTACGAGCAGTCTTCTCGATATGAGCGGCAGGATATGCAAGATGATAAAGAGAAGAGCCGGGAGAAGGTCAAAGCTGAGAGGAGATTCCTGACCAGTTTTGTTTTGAAGCTTCTTCTCCGGGGGGATATCACCTCGAACTAAGCATTTCCCTTCCTATAGGATCATGAAGATCGCATAATCTTTAATTTTCTGGCACCAGATTACCCCTCCCCCAGGTTTTCCATGTCGTTTACCGCTGCTCCCTTGAAGGGCTGGTCATACCTACGCTTACGAACAGGAAAATAATATCCCTTCTGCCGAGAACGGAAACTGTTGTTCTCTCGCCGCGGAACGGCAACCGATACCTCTTGATTTGTTTGGGGGAAGATTCGATATCCTAAGAGCGATTATCCGAGAGTATGGCTCGAGCACTGTCTCTGCAAATCGGATGGCAAATCGCGTCTCGACGTAGGGTCGGTGATCACGGCATTCTGCGGAAGCTTCGGGAATTCGGGAGCTTCCCCTCCCTCGTTCCCGCAACGGAAAGGATGGAGGATTCATGCTCTCGTGCAATAATCGGTGGCCTTATTCTCATAAACCGACTGTGCAAAGCGAATATCGTACTATTTGCAGAGCTCATTCTTGAATCTCGAGGGAGCAGCGCACCCCTATCCGATAACGAAACCATAGAAGCGAGAGACTCCGGAAACTTCTCACAGAAGAAAGGTTCCCTTACGTAAGGCTCCCCTGCTCCTGGAGAAGTTTGGTCAGAGGCAGCTCGCCTGGAATTCGCTTCGTATGCATCTCTCCGCAGCGGAAATGACTTGTTCTCAAAAGATCCGGGAGAGGACTCTCCCACTGCGAGCTTAAACTCGAGCCGGGTTGTGTATAATAAAAATTCTCGGTCGAGCGCTGCAGAGAACGAGCCGGAAAAAAGATCGATTGAGGTTTCAGTGCACTCTGCCATAATGAGGGGGCATTTTCCGACGAATCGGCGCGAGCTCGATCAGTGCTGACAAGCTTCCTTGGCCGTTCCTGGTGTGCATAATTCTTCCATGTTTGATGCTGAGAGAGCTGAAACAAAGCTTCGGCGATATCTTCCACTGACATGAAGTGGAAGCCGATGAAACTCTCGGCTCAATACAGGCTCCCCCCACACTAAGCCGAAGTCAGTCTGAAGCACCGTTGATCTGCACATCGCTCTCACCACTCGATCGTCTGTCAGGGATGCTGAAAAAAACGAAAATGGAGGAAGTAAAACTCGGGCGGGTAGAAATACAGTCAATCGATGCGATGGAACGTCTCTTTTCGAGATCCATTCCACTAGTTCTCAACCACATAGCTGACGACCGATTATCGTCCTCTCAGTCTCGGAGCTCGTGAGTTGCCTCTCGGGGTCAATCGGTTCGTCGAATTTCGATTGTCCAGAATATTCACATCGATCCTGCGGAGAGAGTCCATCCGAGCCCGAGGAGTTTACGAAAATCGGTCGGAGCCTTCCGTTCACATTGCCGCTGAAGACGAACTCTTCGTGGACCTGACCAGGGTCAGGTCAACGACAGCGGCACCCTCTCTGTTCCAATCGAAACATGCTTCGTGGCGGAGCATCAACCGTGCTACCCCTCACCATGCTCGATCCCCGGAACCCAGAGGAGAATCTTTGATCCCATGTTCGAAACTTCCTTGACCCAGGAGGCTCCGCGTGGAGTCGTCGATCCAGATGAGCTCTTTCATCTTCAGGTCTTGTTTAATCTCCACCCCCTCGACCAGTCGACGCTCCCACGCTTCGCTCGATCCGCTCACAGCATCGATGAAGCGCGAAGCTGCTAGCTCGAGCCCGTTTGAGTGCAGCATCTTGCGATCTCTAAGGTGTCAGATCTGTAAGGGAAGATTCGGGCGAATTATCTTCGATTGTCTCTTAAATCGATGAATCATCCGGATCGGAAATATTTCGTGAGATGAGCCTCCTCCTCCTAATCCCCCTCTAATGGAGAATCAGATTGAGGCAACCCAAGGTTGACCAAACGATCATCCGCTGTGTCCACAAGGGAACCTTTTAAGAGTGGACAGAAACGACCGAAGCCCCGAAACGTCTCGGGAGCTGCCAGCCGCTCACTTTTTTGAAATATTCCAATGACGGCGGTCATGCTCCATCGAGCATTGACGATCTGTTCTCTTTGCTTATGGAACGCTGCGGCACAAAAGGTCTCGGTCCCTACGTCAGATGCTGAATTCCATGCATGCCAGGGGATCAACAAGATGAACCCAGTATTGATGGCGCAAGAAAGCGCGCGAGTGAGCTCGATGTTCAGCAAATGTGGTGCGAAACTCTATGTCCTGCACAAGCCCGACTGGAAAACGTTTCACTATCTCTTGCGTTCGTTCTGCTATACAGCGGCCGTGTGCTTCAATTTCCTGGGAGACGCACCGAACCATATTCCAAAAAACATCGCCTCGAACGCCTCATCGTACGCTCTCCTGACAGAGCACCTGACGCTGATTCTGCTCGACAACTCGCTGCGGACGTCGAAGTGTATACGCCACGGGACGGTTCGAGTCTGCATGGATCGCGCCGAAACGAGACAATTCATGAATGCCATCACGCGTTGTTACGTTTCTGCTACTCGAAACACGCTACCGGGGTACGCGGAGCAGATGTTCTTCGCGCTGAAATACATTGTCGAGCACGTCCTGTGAGATTGACTCCGAGCCCCGGAATTTCAGCCGCCGGGTCGCGAAGTCGCTCTGTGCACGAAGGATCACTTGGCTCAGCGTCTGTTTCGGTGAGACGAGACTATTTCCTCCGTTCCGCTCCCGTTCACCAGGGTTATGATGATTATCATTTGAAGCTCCTCGTCAGAATCGAGCTCAGCTTCTAAGACTGTTTGGCTCCGGAGCTCTACATAGACTCCATCGATCGCACAGAAGATTGCTGGATTACATTGGTGCAAGCACATATTCACTGTGTTTGCGGAAATCCTGCCGGCCTCAGATGTTCCCTAATTTGTGTCCGAGCCTGCCGTGAGTAGAAAGCGCCCAGCGACCACGGACAGGCTACGGATCAGCGTGATTCTCGAGAAAGGATGAACATTCACCTTTCGAAATAAATGTGTACGTCAAACGCACTATAGTTCTCTATCGGCTCCGGAAACTCGAAGATGACCATTGCGATCTCATCGGCCAGCGGCAGAATCATACTCGGCCGCCTCAGAAAGCATCCATCATCGATTTTCCGGATGCTCCATGCATCTCGGTCCTGCCAGAGCGCGAAAAACGAGGCCTCCTCGAGACCCACTTGCTACGCCTTAGGAGGACCTTGACAGCCCGTATGCATCCTCCGAGAACGGCCCACATGCTCTGATTTTGCGTTATTTCCTCTCTGGGAGTGACCAGTATAAATTCGAATCGACCCTGTCACTTCGGATCCCGCGGGATTTACCGATCGAAATTCCCCGAACATGTGAGTGGAAAATGGTGACTCATCATAAATTATGATATATGCGATTTTTTCCCCGCCGCGATGGAATCTTGTCCATTGACCTCCCTATGTTATTGTTTTTCGGCAGGGCACGCTTTGCTCTTATGTGGATGCTCTTCAGCGTGGGTGGAGCATCGGGGTTCTTCAGCGAAATCGAGAAAAGTATCGTCGAAGCTTTCAAAGAATATTTCCCCATGGAAAACAAAAACCTGATCGAAGGAGATATCATTCCCGATGCTCGAGAGTCGCTTTCATACAACGCGATGACTTCCGAATCAAAGTAAACTCCGACTGCTCTGACCCTGGTTTGAACTCTTAACGCTATCGTCCGCGGCCTCAGTGACCTTGAATTTTCTAGACGCTGGTACAAAGGCTTGGTTCCTTACGTTATCGACTCGAGTCTCCGCCCGATGGAGCCTCTGATACAGGAAGCGATGAAGAACATTCAGACTCGAACTGCATGTATTCGTTTCAAGCCGAGGAGCGGCGAGAGAGACTTCATTCTCATCAAGAAAGGCAAAGGCTGCAACAGCTACGTCGGTCGTCAAGGCGGACAGCAAGAAGTTTCCATCGGGGAAGGTTCGTGGACTCGGAAATATTCCGCCCTGCTACCTCATTCAAGGAGTCTCACTCTGAATTACTCGCCAGGCTGTGAATCTTTTGGAGTGGTCGTTCACGAACTGACCCATTCACTCGGCTTCCACCACGAACACAACCGCTCGGACAGGGACCAATACATAAAAATCTACATGGAAAACATTGATCCTCAATACGGCAGCCAATTCCGGAAAAAATCACCCAACGAAAATCGGTGAGGCAGAGCAGGAGCCTATCAATTGGTGGCTCGATCCTCTCAAGAAGGCTCGGATATGTGTATCCGTTATTTGCGAAGCGCAAAGACTCGAGTATGTGATCTTCCCGCAGGTTGATCAACGCATTCAGCTACGACTCTATCATGCTGTACGGTTCGAAGTCGTTTTCGAAAAGCAAGAGAAAGCCTTCCATGACCAAGCTCAATGGGGAAACCTTGACCGAAGTTCATCATAAGAAAGGATTAAGCAAAAGTGACGTCGAGCGGATTAGGAAACTGTATTCGTGCTAGGGACCGATGGTGGACATTGCAAAACGGAGTGTCAAATAATACGCATACAATAATTTGAGTTTTTCGACATCGTAAGAATAATTGAAGTCGAGAAAATAAAGTTTCCGGTTGTTTAAGTTATTCCCCTTTTTTCTCCTTGTCTTCGCTCTGCTTCTCGTCGATCTGCGCGTCGGCGACGTACAGGCTCGGATCGATGCTCTTCGGAATCGGGAGGATCTGAGTGTTGAGTTCACGTTCGACGACGGCCATGTTGTGTCGGTCGTCTTCAGTGATGAGATTGATGGCGAGACTTCGGTGTCCGTAGCGGCCGGAACGGCCAATCCTGTGCAAGTAGGACTCGGAACGGCTGGGGAAGTCGAAGTTTATGACAACGTTGACTCCCTGGACATCGATCCCTCTGGTGACAAGGTCCGTGCCGACGAGATTTCGGCAATTCCCTTGACGGGAATCATGGATTACTCGGTTGCGGTGTTGCTGTTGCATTTTCGAGTGGATATAGTAGCACGAGTAGCCGAGATCGGTGATCTCCTTGGCCAGGAGCTCGACTCGTTGAGTGGAGTTGCAGAAGATGATGGCTTGATTGATACAGAGATGCGAGAACAACGTATTCAGACAATGAACTTTCTTGCTCTCCGTCACGAACGCGTAGTATTGCGTCACTCCTTTCAGCGTGAGCTCATTCATCGTGTTGACATGGACGGCCTCATTGAGATTCTTGTCAACAAAGTTCTTCACCTCCGCTGGGAAAGTGGCAGAATACAACAAGGTCTGCTTGTTCTTCGGGAGAATCGACATCAGCTGTTCGACGATCAGAAGGAAGCTGCCCGAGAGGAGTTTGTCAGCCTCGTCGAGAACGAGCACCTTGATCGAATCGCACTTGACGTTCTGGTTGCTAAAGATGTCCAAGGCTCGACCAGGGGTGGCGACGAGAAGCTGAGCTCCGTGGAGGATGGACCTCACGTCCTCTCGCATCTGGCCTCCCCCCATGAGGAGAGCGATCTTGATAGATGTATGCTTCGCGAGCTGCGTGCAATTATGGGAGGTCTGCAAGGCGAGCTCCCTGGTGGGAACCAGGATGAGCGCTTGAGCTTGACCATTTCGATGAGGACCGGAAGCAGGTAGGCTCCTGTTTTATCGGTGCCGTTTTTCGCTCGTGCGATGATGCCTTTGCCGGCAATGGTCGAATGAATTGTCTCCTCCTTCATCGGAGGCTGCAGGCCCACCTTCCAATCGTCGGCTTCGGCGAAGGTCATCTTGACTCCGATGAGGACTGCTGGTGCACAATCTCGTGGACAAGCAGATTCGTTCAAGAGTTTCCGTCTGGCTGTGTATCGCGGAAGCCTCACGGGACGTCGGAGACAGCGGGTTTCTAGGATTCACTGGGAAAGCTCGCTCATAGGCAAAGATTGGGATTTTGATGTGCTCGTCGAACGTGCTTTGAAGAACAACACGAAACCGATTTGCCCTGAATTCGTCCTGACCGGCACCAATGTCGATTATAGTTCTAATCGGTTTTCCCAGGGATCGGGGTAGAATTAGCGAAACTATTCCTGACAAGAGAAAAACTCCGCACGGTTCTCTTTCCGGTGATCGGCTGACTGCCGGCCACATACGAGTGATGGCAAGGGTTTATTTACAAAACGACCCGGTAATATTTAAAAACTCAAATTATTGTATGCGTATTATTTGACAGGAGTAACAGCCCAGATCAGGCCAGAATCTGATCATGGCCACTGTTCTTCTGAACCGTGTCTTCTCCATCAGAGAGACTCCGTGACATCCTTTCGTCCTTACATTGGAGACTTATTTCCATATCATGATTGTCACTATCAGGCACACATGTGACTATTCTGCGGAACGTAGTCGTCTTCTTTGCAAAGAACACACGTAGTCGAACTCGTAGATAAGCGATGAGCGCGGGGATCAGGTCAGCTTCATGAAACTCATCTCCATAAGCATCACGGGCATTCTCAAACTCCCGGGCAGACCGGTTTACTAGGAAATACTCTCCACCTATTCCTCTCTTGGCCAGAGCTGATAGCTGATTCGAGAACCTGCTCCGCCGGAAGTCTGTGAGAGATACCGTCGGTGATACATATGATTCATATACGCCTGTATATCACATCGTTCCGCAATTTCGTGCGTCCGAGCTTCCGACTTGATCAAAGCCCAATAATAATCGAAAGTGCGACGCTGGGAGCTTGTGTTTTCCGTCGAGTCTACTCCGGCGGCTCAAAGCTGTAGGAGTCTTCCGCGGATTTCAGATTCAAAATTCGAGCTCAGCGCTCGCGGAGGACTCACCGGTCGCTGAGCGAGGCTTCTATGAGCGAGCTGTCAATGTTCAACATGGCCGCGCTTGTAGCTTCTCGGGCTAATGCTCTGTGCGTCAACTCATGGAACTAAATAATTGAAGCGTTCCTCGCGTTTTCAAGAAGTGATGTAAGTTCTTGGAAGCTCAGATTACGCTCCTCGTCTGATTTTATGGAGGCTTCTCTTCCGCTTGGGAATAGCGATGCCTCGATCGACTCGTATATAGAATTCTCCGTGCTCACTGTCTGTGCTGTTGCGGTTCGTTCGAATCGTTCGAACCAAATTTCTTGCGGGAATCCAAGCGTTCAGCTTGTGCCTGGAGCATGCAGAATGACCCCCGATAGCAACGAGTGCAGAATGAAAACTAGGAGAAGCTTCTTTCCCGGAATCCTGCATGATGCTCGATTCCAAGCACCATTCAAGGCGATCTGTACGTCTCTGGGCTTACGAAAAACCGGATGGGACTCTGGAGAGCGGTGCCTCGCGTTTCGAAATGCATGCATTCCGCGAACGTGTAGTCGATGAGTCTACGGTTGTATCCCCCAGCGGACTCTGCCCCTCCGATAATGTATAGATTCCTAGGTGATTTCGAACTTCTCTTCAGAATTGATCCCTCCGGGAGGGAAGAGAGAAATTCCACGGGAGATCGGGGTGTTCGAGCTCCGTAGAGCTCTATGGGCAACGTGTGTTGTTCTCATGGAGACCCGAAAAGGGGTTCGCCACCGGCTCAGTCCCAAGCTTCGAGTGCAGAAAATGTGAATCATTCGTCAACGACAGCGCACACCATTCTAGAACAGGTAAGGCATCCAACGCGATGTGCTCCCACCTTCCGAGTGCAATTGGTTCCCGCCTATTGATGCGCTTGGTAGTGTTTCGAGAACTCTGAGGAGATTCGCTGGCAGAACTATTCCCCTTACTGAGAGTGAATTTTCTCATTCCCCTCAGCAGCCTGCGGACAACGGTCAATGCGCGAAAGTATGCACTCACAGCCAGAAATCGACCATCGAATTAAAGGGACGAAGGTACCGAGATTCCCGACCTCTATCTATCATCATATGATATGCACAAATATGCAGCTCCTATGATCGGCGAATCATTCCTCTTCGACCGCAGGTCAAGAGTCGAGACTCAAGGTAAATAATTTTTCGCGACGAGTGTCTCACGGAAGTCTGCTTGCAGCCATTCAGCTAATGGAGCGATGATTGGCGACCTATTCAATAAATACAAGTCACCGGACCAGGATATCATAGAAGCTGAGGGTGAGTAGGGAAATGCACCGATCAGAATGCACAATGCTCGAGCAGCCCTCCATCGAGAATATGAGTTCCGATGGAAGGATCCATCCATATCAATGACGACGTCGTCTCCAATGCAGGAATCTGCCAATTGTGCGAAGATCTCGAGCTCGAAGCCGACGATTTCCGAATATTGGTGTTGGCTTGGTATTGCCAAGCAAGTCAAATGTGCCAGTTCACCCGCGAAGAGTTCACCAACGGTCAGTATGAACCGTGTCATGATATTCCCCATCTTGGATAATGTTTCTGCATTCAGAGAAATCGGATATTACGTCATCCGATAGTCTCGATTCGAGAGTATAGCTGTGATCTCGATCCTGATAGCGCCCGCATTCGATTACAGGGCTCCTTGGTTTGAAAGCGGACTCAATCTCGTCACTCAAGACAGCGTTACAAGATGTATCTAGTCAGCTGAAACCTCTCACATCTATAGACTACCACTCCTTATACAAGTGGGCTTTTTCTTTCGCTCTCGAAAGCGAAACGCAACGCACTTTATCCGTGGAAATGGCATCTCAGTTATGGAAAGTCGTCTTCTCTCCCGACGAGCCGCCCATTCTAGACTTTTGGCTCAATTTCCTCGAATCCAGTGGAGACTCCGTGAGAGGCATCTCACGCGATACGTGGAACCTTTTTTTGATTTTCGTACGTCGGTGTGCTCATGACCTGTCAACATACGATGAAACGGAGGCTTGGCCATCGCTCTTCGACGACTTCGTTCACTTCCATAACGATCAAACGAACCAGAACTGTTCTAAAACATCGTGGGACGGCACAGGAGGCGGGAACGTCATAAGTTCGCCCTGAGACCATCTGGAGGGAGACTTAAGGGATGTTCCTCTCCGGAATTCTCGTGCGATCCCGCTGCCGGTTCTCTTCGGGAGCACGTACAGATTCGCTATCCGGCTTCTGAATCAAATTGAGTCCTGCTTCGCGAGAAATCCTGGTCCGGGCTGGACAGTCGGGGAACTCGCTCAAAAGGCCCAACGCCGAGATTCATCCACACGGTCATTGAACAATAGGCCATCGATCTCGAAGAGAGCACGTCGCGACATTTGGTTGTTCAATAGGAGGCGGATCATTTTGCTAAACTAGTGATTTTTTTCGCCTCGAGAGCCTCAAACCTCAGCTGTATATACTTGTAGGGTAGTAACAGGACATGGTTCACTGCCAGAAGCTCGGGTCATCGATGACGCGACCAAGAAACGCAGTGGATTGATTTAAGATGATTCCGGATCGAACGATAGCTTTGTGCTTAGCTGCGCGGACATAACGATTGAGCGGAAGCTTTACAAAACACTAGGAAATCGTTTTTCGTCTCTCAGCAGAAAGTTCTCCGAAGAATGTATCCGATGCTGTCCTTTTATTTGTGTACAATATGTAAATATTTACGGGAATCGGATGTCTTTGATCGCGTGTAAAATATATCACGTTTCTCCGGAGTCATCCATCATACGAACGCTGGTTTTCCCTCGAATTCATCGCATCTAATCCATCGAACGCTAGAGCGCCTCCCCGAGATCTAAGAGTCTTAGGAATTCCGTCTATGCTTGCTTCAGATCCAGTATCGGTATCTGCAGCTCTCGACGTAAATCCGTGATATCTTGATCCCAACGTTCCTCGAAATACAAAGGCATGAAGGGTTTGGATTCAAAGCCAGTCTTGAGCGCCCAAGGTAAGTACGTGGTCACGTAGAGTTGACGGTGTCTGTCGAAGATAAAGCGGGATTAGGGAGCTCCGCTACTCTCGTCGATTTCAGGAGCAACCCCATAAGGGAAAAAATCAATGGAACACTGACTTTGGTTTCAATCTTATTGCGCCGAATAAACCTCCTGTCGCGGCCATGGGTAACCGCGTTTGGAAAGCTTCGACCCACTTCACGGTGACTTCGCCGAGCATCGTGGTCGGCATATCGAGGAGAACGTGGAACAAGTCATGAACTTCCCGATATCGTTGAGCAACGTAGGCGAGGTTCAGGTCGTCCACGAAATGGACCGGAGGTCTATCATCCGCAGAGAGTCCCTGTCGATAGGATGTTCCATCTCCGCTCGTAGTGAAATGATTCCAGACAGCGAGGGCCTGCTTCAGAGTCTCCAAAGTCTTTCTCCTACTTACATAAGTCTTCATGAAATTAGCGTAGACGAAGCCGAGCGTGTTCCTAGGACTTTCGAGTAGCTTCGGATAGTCAACGGTCTTGGTGTTGATGCGTGGTCTGTCGTTGAGGACTCGGCGTCCCTCGTCAGAACTCTCCATCTGCGCCTGCATGTGTTGGAAAGCGCACTGGCCCGTCACCTCTCCGAAACAGGCGATCATATCTGGAGTGGAGCGGACAAGGTAACTTTGTCGAATAGGAGCACCTTAGGTCCGCAAAAATCCAATTGAGCTGATCTGAATGATACGAAACGCTGTCGACTTACCAGCTCTGTACACATCGCTCAAAGACATGATGGAGGAACCCATAGCCAGCAGGCTCTTTTGGAAAGCAGATGTGGGATAGTGCTCTGCATAGAGAGGCCCAGTGGTCTCTTCCTCGTACTCATATTCTTGCCACTTGAGATTTTTGTCTGCAAAGGTTTGGCTCGGTGATTCAGAAGAAATGACCCGCGACATCGAATCTTGTCAACTACCTTCGTCGGGGAAAAGAGCTGGAAATCAGTCGTTTCACCTTGGCTCTCATCTACGTCCAGGTGTTCGAACTGTTTAGTCGCCATCCGCGCGCGAGGGAGACGGACGATCGCCTGATTCCGGATTCCGACGGCTCGCGGTCTCCCGGATCTCAGAAGAAGACTCGCCATCACACGAAACTTCTGGTACGTCGTCCCTTGTCGACTTGAGAGCTCAAAAATACACCTTCACGATTTTGTCGAGAACCACAGCGCGTCTCTGATTTTCCCTCGAACGCCTGGGCGGCGCCATGACACGAAACTTCCGGCGGGCATTTCGAACGCGTTAAACGGGACGAGTATGAGATGAACACCGAGCCGAAAGTCGAGGAATGCGCTGGACGCGAATCCCTCCGAAAGCTCATTGAAGCCTGACTTCATTCGATATCCGAAAACTTTCCATTGCGATTGCCTCCATTCGAGGTCATGATCAAGGATCAATTCCGAGCATGAGCGCATGCCGGGTCGGTGCGTGACATTATTGGTACCTCCTCGTGCTGGGACCGGAATCCTCATTGAAGCACACTCGCCACAAAAGAGTCCCGAGCAGCTGCGAGGCAGCAGAACCAGGATTATTTTCACAAAGAAATCTATTTCCCAGTTCCTCCACCCCCTCCACCCCTATCCTAGAGCGCTACAAGGAGTCATGTCGGCAGCACAATGAGGCTTCCCGATATTTGAATCGCAAAACAGCCAGCTGGAGCAATTCACCGCAGCTTGAAGGGCGGAACGTCCGCTCGGGGAGCATTTCCCCGTCATCAATGAAACCGCTTGTCGTCCCGGCATATTTGAAGAGATTTCGGGCGTCTGCGGTACACGAGTCGGCCATGTGTGGTGCATCCACACAGGAATACCTACTCAGGGCCGTGTTTCGGGCCTAGCGATTCAGGCGGCGCGCAGGAAGACGCGCCCCAGCCCTCCCCTGATCGGGCCTGCATCAATGAGAGGAAGGCATGGAGCTCACAATTAGCGCTCAGGAGCCGAGGGAAAATGGACTGAATATCCTTTTATGTTGCCGCAGCGATGACTTCGCGAGCCGCCGCCCACTTAAGGCTCGGGGTCGATCTTTGACGAATCCTTCCTCCGTGGACTTCCATTGTCGAGTCGCAATGATTTTTTTCTCCTCTGGAGGTATAGCATAGAATCCATCAGATCTCCGACAGTGGCGGCGCCAGCCATTTTAGCGTAGAACTACGCTTTAGCCCCCGGTAGGTGGACAAGATGGGGTGCGAATCGTGAAAAATGGTCACAAACTTGGTCGTCGAAATCCTCTGAAACTAAGCATTGCATAAGGAAAAATGTCATGGTCAAATATGTGTGACCACTTGTGAGGCATCGTCAGAAGGTCATCCTGAACTCGAAAATCCTTTCTTCAGGTTGAAATAGGCCATAATGTAGGCTCCGATTCAAAATACTCGAGAACCAGGCATCCTAGCACAAATATCATGATGGCAAGAAATGTTCAGCTTCGGTAGTTTCCATCGGCTAGACGATAGCGGCTCGATTCCGTCACTTACTGACGATGAAAAAGGCGTTCTCACTCTTTGGAAGCCTTCAAAAACACAATTTGCTCCTGCACAAACATTTGAGCGAAGTATTGTTTGCATTCTCTGATGGGTGAAACTATGATTGCACGCGGGATCATGATTTTCATTATGGTCAAGAATGAAAATTCAAGGATATCCGCGACGGGTCGAAATGGCGTCTCTTATTCATACGAAGTCATCTTTATCATTCATTTCACGGCGAAAACGAATTTCACTGTGAGCAGATAGCAGATACTACCTCATAGTATGGTAATTCTCTCGTCCGATTATTGAATGAATGAATGAATAACTCCTTTATTACAAAAGGGGGGAAGGGGGGGATTATGTCGCTTAATGTCACTACCTCAAGCGTACCAATGTGCAGTAGAGCTGACGTCGATGTTTTCGAAAGGCTTCTCCATCTCTGGGAGAGAAGAGAGAGCAGAGCAGTCAGAAAAAGTCTTCTATCGCATTCCGAGACTACGTCGACTGGAATTATGATGGCAGTGGTGAACCCCAAGCCTACGATTCTTTCCATGTGTACTTCAGTCTACGTACTACAGTTCCGTCAACCTTCTGGTCGTTACGTTTTGTGGAACAAAGGTTCGGACCCGTGAGGCATTTAGAGGAGGAAGCCGATTGGGAGAAACTCATGTCAGAAGCTCTTGATGTCACATCATACTTCGAGGAGCCAACCCAAAAGGAACAAGAGGAAACATTCTGTCCCGGTGAAAAACGAATAAGTGCATTTTGAACCAATGCGGAGCATTACGCCGTTTAGGACGAGCGTTGCATGGTATTATATATTTCTCATTGATCCCGGGGCGAAGTACGGGCACCATTAATTTCTCTATGCGTAGCATAAAGCTCAATTCGCCTGTTTCCATGACGTCACACCCTCTCATAATTTGCTCGGAAACCTAGTCACGGGAGTTGAGGAACGGTATTCAGTACGGTTTGAGCTTCTAGTGCATTTCAGACAAATGCGAAGCATCACACCGTTTAGGAACGAGCATTGTTTCTCATTGATCCCGGGGCGAAGTATGGGTACCATTCATTTCTCGATGCACAGCGCAAGGCCCGATTCGCCTGTTTCTATAATGTCACACCCTCTCACAATTTGCTCGGAAACCTATTCACGGCAGTTACGGAACGGTTTTTCAGTACGGTTTGAGCGTTGTGCATCGAGTACCTGTCGACTTGATGTATCATTCTCGAAGTTCCTCGGAAACTCGGAAATAATTCAGAAAAGCGTAGTTCTACGCCCATTACCCGACTTATAAGTTATAGACTCAGTCAGTAGCCTGCGTTTTTTTTTTTCGGAAGCTTGAATTTGTGTTGGATACAGCTTCCCCCGAACAAGGAAGTCAGCGCGCTCGGAGACACAAAGATTTACTTCATAAGGCAAGTATCGGTGTTGCATAAATGCATACAATGATACATATCTATGTATATTATATCGTAGAAACAGCGGAGACTTTCCGCGTTTCGTCTTATTTTACTTTCCTAGCGACGAGCTGAGATACGACTCAGTTAAGCGTTTGAATCATAGTCATTTCACTAGGGGCAATCTTCGATCTCCGCCTTTGGCGAATTCGTCCACGATTTGATTCGGAAGTTCTCAGCTCTCGGTCAGATATTGATGACGGATATCAGGTGGGGTGTCGCCAATCATGAAAGAGGAAACCCCCGTAATGGGGTTGCGTGCGTGTAGTGCGTCCAAGCGCATGTGCGCGATTAAGTCTTTCTCGTGACCTCGAGAAATTCAACCCGGCATGATCGACAGCAGCAATCTGAATGCTCCGGAACCGATGGAACATATGATCGGAAAATTTTTGAGAAGCCAAGCTTCCCGACTTCGGAGGCTTGGGAAGCTATAGCTTACAAAGCTTCCCGCCAGCGCCGCCACTGATCTCCGAAGAGCATACGAGTCTAAGGCGCCTGTCATGCACCTCCCGCGGTCCGAGAGCATAAGCCACAGCGAAAGCATTCGGTTTCTTTCGATTCGTTTGGGGGGGGGGGGGGGGGTGAGGTTATAGATCAATTGATCACGTCATCGTTGCCCGTGATTTGCTGATCTTTCTCTGGCATTTCTCTCTATCTATCGCACTCTGAGCTCCGAGAAGGTCATTGACATCGGGGGCAGCTCGTTGTACAGTCGGAGGGAATGTGAAGCTTCCCGTCAGAAGTCTTCCTTCAGTTGCGGGATCGTGAGACAGTTCTCCTCATTGAAAACCGCTCATTGTCGTTCTGAATGCTTCTCAGCTTGCAGGCCGAAGCTCATTCTGGCAGGAAAATAACTCTTGCTCAGGACATGGATAATTTTCATCGAGGTGAGTATTCTTCGATTTTATTAGACACTTCATGCCGAATTTCACATCTCGCACGAATAAATCAGGCTCCATCCATCGAGAGATGCCGATGGGAAGAATGAATATGCGACGGAGTATGCTTAACCGAGAACCGAGCCGACTCGGACAACGTTTCCACTGCTCTCTGGAGCGGTGTAGGCGGGCTGGGTGAAGGTCTGGGGTTGAGCGAACGCTTGGGTGAAAGGAAGGGCTGGGACGAAAGCTTGGGGCTGTGCGAAAGCCTGGGGGTAGAGTGGTTGCGGGTAGCTCGGGATAAACGTGGCGGGTTGTTGAACGTAGCCTGTTTGGGGAATCTGGTGGAAGAAAGTCTGGGGAACTTGCTGCTGCTGCTGTTGTTGTTGTGGCTGCTGCAGTTGCGGCTGCTGCTGCTGCAGCTGCGGTTGCTGCTGCTGCAGTTGCGGTTGCTGCTGCAGTTGCGGTTGCGACTGCTTGTGAACAACTGGGGTGGCGATCTGTGGCTGAACGGCTTGCTTGGGCTGCGGCTGACGACGAATATCGGGAACTTCAGAGCTGGCGCCGATGTTGTTGTTCAGGTGATAGTATCTCTCAGACTGCCCGCACGGAATTGTCGGGCTGCTGACGCAAGTCGTGGCTTGCTGGTCGAAAGAGGAGTTGGCGGGGCAGAAGAACGAATACTGCATCACAGCCTGCTGACCGTCCGGCAGGTGGACCGGGTTGCAGATGTGGAAAACTTTGCAATCATTGACAACATCGGCGTAGTAGCCGAGACGACGGTTTGCGCAGGAGAATCCAACGTCGATGGTGCGCTCGACGACCTCATCGGCGGAAGCTGACAGACCCAGCAGAGACGCCTGTGGGGACTGAGTGGTGGTGGTGGTGGACGCCTGGCCGAGGAAAGGCGTATCACGGGCCAAGGCCACCGGCAGCACTAAAGCGGCGAGGAAGGCAATCATCTTCCTCGAGTGAATTGAGGTGACTGTTGGTGATCGGACCTGAAAGAATTATATACCGAGGCATCTCCGAGTGCGAGAGACCTGCAATCTCACTCTCTCACGCGTCCACCCACCCTTCTACGCCATCCCGTCCCAGAGATGAAAGAAGAATACCCCATGACGCGTCAGAAACCGCATGCTGCGACGCTGAAAGACCGAAAATATTCCTCGTCGAGATCGATCGATCGACATGCGCGCAGTGTAAACGGAGCTTTGATGTGGAGCTTGATTATTTGCTTCTCGATTCTGGCTTTCCCCGAAGCCGTCACGCACCCCATGCTCCATGCGCTCGGCGGCTTCATGCGCGACCGTTGTCTCTAGTGGACGCGAGCGATCATCCCGAAATACGCTTTGTTTTTCTTCAGCCGATCAATCACTCGTGCTGCGAACTGGCCAACACGTGGTTCCGATGAGATTTTGATTCGCCACATCGGCTCCGACACCTCTGAGATCGTGGTCTTTCGGATGCCGATGATCAGACGAAGAACTGCTTCCGGAGCACAATATGCTCTCTGGGATACCGTCGAAAACCGATTCGCGCAGCCCGACGAATCGTGTTCAAGTTTCGCCGACCGTCTCACAGGAACCTGTTTGGAGCTGACTGAACGAGAGTTTCCGGAAGCAATTGGTCGAGAGCATCGGACTCGGCAGCCTTATGTGACCGCGATTACATCAAAGTTTTTGGCAGTGATCAGCTGATATAATCGAGATTGTGCTGTACTATTTTATTTCCTTGCTCGATTTGCGGAGCCATGAGCCGTGATTCGTAGCTGATTCTCTCGGAAAAGTCGAACCTCTCTAAAGATATTCACCGCGGAACTTGAGCTATTCAATTCATCACACCGAACCTTCAATAAAATTGTAGCGACGAGCACAGAGACTGATGAAATGCTCTCAAGCGTGATCCATGCGGCTAGATACAATCTCTGACTCCTCTTCGCATACGCCGAATCGCTCATGTAGTTCTAGGATTAATAGCGGACCCAACTCGAGCCCCAAGCTTCCATTCGGCGTGCTTCGACTTCTCGTCGTAGCGAGAGGGTTCACGCTCGACTCCGAATCATCTAGGTCGACTCTTCGAGATCTTGAGCTGCGCGCCGCGGGCAGCATGAGAGTAAACGTCCTCAATGTCTTCCCTTGAAAATGACGTAATTCTCCGTCGTTTCAGAAATTGAACATTTTGCGACAGATCTTGCTTCATGCAGTGGTGGGATACAGTGCCGCTGGTTCAGCAGCTCCCTCGCCGATTCACCGCGCGGCAACGGCACTCCTGAGCCATGAGAGACCGTCTCCCGAATTTCATGAAGCCCAGGCGAGCACGCTCCGAGGTTCTCATCTAGGGTAATTTTTTACTGGTGCGGCCTTGTCGCCACAGGATGTGCGTCGTGATTAGCTGAGCTCATGGTTCGCATTGATGCTGGAGTGGATACCTCGGACAAAGTCTCGCTTCGATCGGATTTGAGAGTCAGCGAGGCCGAGAGCAGGAGCTGCTTGAGGCTGATATTCAGACGATTCCGTCGAGGAACCCCAAACGATCCTCTATCGAGCTCTCTCTTCTCGCTGAGAGACATAAAAGATTTTCAGGGAGACGGTATTTCTGACCAACTGGGGAATCGGTCACCAGTGCAAGACGAGCGGCTCGTCGAATATTTCGCAGAGATCAGCTTTCACAGAAGCATCCCAACTTTCCGACCGCGCGGCATATTATATTTCTTTGATGATTGTCGGATGAATACGATCCTCGATTAGTCTGGCGGCGTAATCCGAGATAAGAGCTCCTCCCAAGTGAGGAAAACGATTTTCCGCGCCAGCTCGCAGAATCCACTCATATCGTCCTGGGAATGAGAGGAAGCAAGTGCGAAGCATTTGGCGCCTTGCGATGGATTCGAGACCGGAACCCGGCCCGGCTCCTCCGGGAAGAGTATAGACATTATATTCTACAAGCCTATACTATGAAGGACAATAGCGCCGAAAACCTTCGGCGCTTCCATCATACACATACCAGCAAAGTAGGCTGAACGCTCTTATAATGATCCCCCGACGGTCACACAATGTTAAGTTAGAAAGCTGGGGAACAGCCAATACTGTACAGGGAAACATCCGGGACCACGAAGATTCGTATCCGGGGAGCTTATGCATCATGCGCTTTTATTGTTGTACCGTACACTGCTGTTTGTGAGCACTGTTTTGCAGTTCACAGCTCCGGAGACAATATTCGCGGGGTGGTCATAACGGAAAGAAGCTTAAGGTGGCGGAAATGAACAATGACCGAGTTTCGAACTTCTATGTACCTCGAATTTTCACGACCAGACGAAGATTCCTCATTGACGAGTATAAGCCACTCCCGAGATTCGGACACGAGATGACCCCCAATACGTTGGCATCTGATATGCCATTCAGATGCCGGAAGAATTCCGGTAGACTTGCGAGTGGCATCCAAAAAGGATTTGGACTTGTCCAGCTAGATCATGAACACCCTCCTATTCCGTTGCTCGTTCGAATTTCCGAGAACAAAAGTGTGTCGTGGTTGAAAGACGAATGTCATGGCGAATCGACGCTCTCGCTACCAGGGAGTGGGACTCAGGGCGAGGCTGTTTCCGGGCGTGCGACGCATATCTCTCCTTTCTGAAACTTCCGGCTCCTTCCGCCCGCAAATAATGGCAGCCCCCCTTCCACGCGAGCCCCATCCTACTGGGAACTTTGTAGAGAACGGAAGCCCTCTCGATATCCTTCTTCGTGTGAGCTCACGGTCGCAGTCGGTTCCAATAGGCCGTCAATGTGCCCGGGAAAGAGGAAGACCTGAGCTCCATCTCATCCTTGTACGTGCTTGGAGGGCCGTCATTTCCCCATGGAATGATATAGGCATCGGATAAGACACATGGGTCAAATCAAAGCTGCGTCCCCGCAAACACCTCGGCCGGCATAACTTGTTCCCAGGTCTATTGTTCCTCCCCCTCCTTTCCAGTATGGGTTTCGAATACACACGACGATCGATGACGACACTCTTGTACTTTCGTCCGTGGATACTCATAATCTGATACAATACCACTCTAGTCATGGTCGAGAGTATCCCACACTATCTAGCTTTTCGCTCTTCGTGCTCTTTTTCTCATAAGATTCCACATAACATACATTCGCTCAAGAAAATCCATAAAAAAATGTACCCGAAATATCCGCCGAGACTCGTTGCAAGGAGATGTGCGGCTGAAAGTGGTTGCGACAGTTATCCGGATTTTCGGCTCTCCTCCCGATTTAAAGCTCGAGCATCAGGACCGAGACTCCGAGAGACTCATGGACCGAGACGCATCGTGGAGGAAGCTTTTGGGATGAAAGAAAGAAAAATGCGAGCTCGCCGGACTCCACAAGTTCAGTAAACAGACCGCCGCTATGAATCGCAAGAGTCTTCGTAACAAAGGCAGAAGAATAGCTCGCCTCCGACCACGAGCTTGCCCCTCAGCGAGGCTTGTGATTTATTTTGTCCACGCTGTCACGCTCAGAATACGCCTCTGCGGGAATCGTTGTTTCCATTAATCCGATTTGGAACGCATTCATTCCGTTCATATGGGGCGCTCCGCCCGGCAGAACTTTCTTTAAGCCGACTGTCCTGCACGGGGAATCAGGTGTTCAAAAAATCGGCTCGATAATTCCTTCTGGTTCGGAAAAGAGACGCGATCCCGAATTTCGGAATGAAGGGAATGAGCTGGTCGAACAGCCGCTCTCGAAAACTTCTTCATCGCGAAACTTGAAAGACCAGCGAGAAACTTGAGCCCTTTCGAATATCCTCCACGCCGAGGAGGGAATCGTAGATCAAGGGCCGCTCTAAACCTTCGAGAAGAATTCTGCGATCAGAGGAACATCAAATAGGATGTGCTGCGCTTTTATCCGGATGGCACTTTCTTCAGTTGATATCCGGCCATTCTGTCATCGGGCTCGCTCAGCGGAGTATTCCGGAGGGTCTGATCCGAGGGCCTCGCACGAGCAGAGAGTTCTCTACGGAATCTTTGAGACTAAAAAGCAAGATTCACCTATGGAACGGACCTCCCGAAGAGGAACTGCGGCCGTGTTCGCGGAGCAGCCGACATGAGGCATCGCCCGGGCAGCTTGCCTCAGTGGCAACGCGGTTGGAATCTACAGAGCGACGGCAACGTGTGTACACACAAAGCTCGTGAATACGTTCATGGAAAGAGTCGAAGGCGCAGGTTCGACCCCTGGAGAGGGTTTCCGTCGTGGTAAGGTGGTCCGACGCATCGAAAGGCACGAGTGCCTATACAAGCGATGAGGGGAGGCTACGCGCTCCATCGAAATTCCAATAGGTCTGACCACACATTGTGTCGATTATTGTGAGCCCGAGGTGCGCGGGTCGGATTTGAGATGGAGAGTCGTCACAGATAACGTGCTTGTGAGATCAGAATAAATCAGAGTGTATGCCCATCCGTGGCGATGAAAGCTTCATGTTTTCCGTCCGGTCCAATAGTGGTCGAAAAGTAGCACTCCCAACAACAATTAAGTCTTGTGATACGTCTAATCGCATGCTGGAATTTCACACATTGTCTCACTCACGGTGATGTGAAGCTGCGATCGACATCGCGAAGAAACCTTTTTCCGTTCTCCCCGGGAGCATAATCAGAGTAACGGATTTGCGTCTCAAAGCGCCACAAGCTCAATAATTGATAATGATGGAACTAATGATGACGCATGATGTTCGCTCGATTCCTCGTGCCTGCTTGGCTCAGCGACATTTCACTGGAACTTTCGGATGAATTGGAAGCAACGGTATCAGCTGCTGGGAGTCCTACGGAGATATGTGCCAGGATTGGAATGAGTATATGAGCTCAGACAGGTCGACATCGGAATCGGGCACGTCGATGCTCACGAAAGCTTCGGACTTCCGGGTACAGAGCCTCCGGGAACGGCAATTTGATTGGATCTAGCTCGCCCGACGGAGTAGTTTTCCTTTCGCGCTGTTTGGGTGAGTCTTCC